AGCGGCGTAATTTGAGCCGCATCACACCCCGCCTGTGAGTTTAATGATTGCGCTTAATGAGGGAGCGCGATCGGTGAACCACCTGACACTTAAGATTACTGCAGTGTTAGTAGAGGTAACTGATTCCAGGGGCGAGTGGGCAGTTGATTTTTTATGAGCGTTGGACAAATGTTTTCATTTGGTAGGAGGTTCAATGCCTCACGTTGCTAATGCATTTTCTAGGTTAAATCTTTTACGTAGATTATGCTCATGCACTTGACAAGTGTAAACTATTATGAATATATAGTGACTTAAAACTTTAAATAATAATATGATATTAAAGATATAACTAGGGCGGTGACGCAATTTAATACCTTAATTTTGATATTTTAATCGCTTATCCTTAAAGAATAGACGAGCTTTATTTAATCTAGGGCCCATACTGGGATTCCTAGAATTTATAAAAAAACTGATGACTGTCAAATGTGTGCTGTTTCAAAAACTCTTTATAGATTGTTAATATATTTATGACGAATTAAAATGCATTGTACGTCTGGAGTGTATGAAGGCATTTAAATGTGATGCTTGGAAGGGTAAGGGTATTAAAATCATCATCAAGTAATAAAAATAACAATCCATAGTTATGGCAATGTACATAATGTACACAAGATATAGGGAAAGGGGGTTGCAATGGAATCAAAAATAGAATAACGTGAGGGGCCAGAGAACGATGGTGAAAGGTTGTAAGTCAGATTGAACCCACGGACGCTAACTATATTTTGCAGCGACGTAAGGAGGATGGCGTAACTTCTCAATTTATAGAACAGAAAAATATTAAACAAAAAAACTGACAGCGGACAAACTAATAAACCGAATTCTATGTTTTTAAGCCGTTACTGCTGTCAAAAAATTAGAAATACAAAGAAATACAAAGTTATTTTGAAAACATCCCAGAAAAGAATAGGTGTTACACGGTGACACGAATGAAATATTTCGTAAATAAATCATCTCCAACTATCACGTTACTTTATTAGCAAAGGATGATATGTTTTGGACTCCTAAGTGGTATTTCAATACCCGTTAATAGGTGCTTAAAAGAGGAATTTTGCCCTGAAAGCTCAAGCCCCCGTCTGGGTTGATAAATGAAGGTAAAGTAATACTAGATTTATTTTTTCCTGAGCAGTTTTTTTTTCATGTCGGCAAAAAGACTGTCACATGTTAGCCAGGAGACGTGGGATGCGTTTGTAGAAGAATAAAAAAGAGCATGCCAGCACTGAAAGAAAATATGACATTAAGAATATATAAATGACATATATAATATATGTATTTTTTATCATATATATATATATATATATATATATATTAAGAAACAGCTGCTCATAAAGGTATTGAGAGAGAGAGAGAGAGAGAGAGAGAGAGAGAGAGAGGGAGAGAGAGAGAGATGGCGGGAAACGGGAAAAGAGAAAAAAAAAGCGTCAGACCACATATAAACTGTTACAGATACTATCTTCGGCAACATGATCTGCCATACCACCCGCTTTCCGGGGAGGTCAGAATTATTGGAATGATTTCCGCTTGACAATATGAACAAGTGAAATGTAAAACAATACATCACACTTCTATGCCCACGTCCACGCTAACGCGAAGAGAGCTTCCTGCACCAAGGGTTTCAGAATTTTTTTTGCCAGCAGCATGATACTCCTATCTTGGCATGGTATCTAAAGTAGTGTCAAGAATGATATTTTTATTTACCGATCTTGTGGGCGAGAATGTGTTTTACTCAGCATCCTGTTCACTTGAAATATAGACGGGTGTTGTTTGAAAGGGTGTCTTTCTTACATTTCACATTGATAAGAAATGGGATGCAAGGGTGGATTATACAACACGAAGAGATAAAAGAATAGATAACTGATGAATGAGAAAAAATAAGAAGAAGAAAAGAGAAAAAAGACAACTGAAAAAGTGAAAATCTCAAAGTTACGCATTATAATATTATGCAATTTTACTTTTAGAAACAGCAGTCATGAATAGCAGTAAAAACGGAAACAGAAGTAAACAGAAAAATTAATTACATTTTTGCAACCACGAAAAATATAAGAAGAAAAACAAACAAACAAACAAAAAAAAAATACATTCGATAGAAAATTAACCCATGTTATGCTCCATTAATGCATGAAAGAATTTTGTAATTTGCTCTCAACATTTTAACATGTATTTCCTCTATGCTATTATGCATCCTACTCAATGTTTAAAACAATTGGCCTAAGTCAAGGGCACGTCAGTAAAACAATGGCATTTAGTGGTATCCGTACTTGTGGTCCCAGCGCTAAGAGGGGGATGTTTAAGCCGTTTGCACTAAGAGAGGTCGTTCTCAGGCTTCCACCGAGTACTTGAACTAAGGACGTGGGTGATTTGGAAGTGTCTGCGCCCGTTTGGTTTCCAAATACGGAGCCATTTTGCAAGATCATTGAGGTGTGCAGTCTGTTTATACAAATATAACTTCAATGGGATTCGTCACTGTTTTTTTTCTCTAAAGCGCTCGTACAAAAGTACAACGGCGCGTATGTGAGAAATGAAACAGCGAAACCACATATCTTGTAAGGTGTAATGACATTTTTCGAACAAGTAACATAAAATTAAAGTTTAATTCGTCAAAATCGCTGCCCATTCCATCACAATTCACATCTTTTTTAATCTGTTTAATATACAGGGAAATGTGTTTTATTTTACCCTTTAAATTTACCTGTTAACTGTTTCATGCTTTTACTGTTAAACATAAAATAATAAAGATCAAGAAACGCGTCCAGTTTGATATATCTTGAAAATACATTTAACATCCAGATTTCGTTACGTGTCTGTCATAATCCATTATGGTAAAATTGAATTACAACATTTGTAGCTCATTGAAACATACGAACTTTGAACTTGTTGTTTCAATGATCATAATGGAAAACGTACCTCGGGTGTGACTGGGATTTTAGTTAATTTTAGAGAAAAAACTGTAATCCATAAAACCTTTTTTGTTAATGCGAATTGTGCTTGTCAGTGCTTTCAGAGAAATATTTCTTTTTAAGAAAATTGAAAGAACACAGACAACAAAGGTGTAATGATCTTCAACAACACCCTACATAGTTGATACGCAAAAACATAAGCCGCCCGTGCTACCGTTACATTTTTGAGAGCGGACAGTTTCGTCTGTATTTTCCAAGACCTTAATTCAGCAATTCGAATGAACAAAGGAACATCAGGAATATGGAAAAATCATTTTCTTTTGGTATCACTGAACTGAGTTCAGGGAGAAAAATATCATAATATTCAATTAGACAATATTGACTGCACAGAGTAGTATTTGGGAAAGAGGCCGTAAGAAAGTACGAAGCTATGATGCGGATGTTTTATAGGTGGAGTAAAAATGGCGGGAAAAATACAAGATCTGGGAGATTTATTGCATAGTTTATTCCATCTGGGAGGTCAATTTCGAGGTAACTGCATGTGAACACTGGGCATTCTACACACATTAGTAGTGAAATAGGCTGCCAGTTGAAACCCTCTTTAAGAATAATAACGAATAAAAACGAATAAAATAAATCGTGGTTAATAATATACATTTTTATAACAATATTTTAGAAAAATAATGTTTATAAAAACAAATAGACAACTCCTTATGCTGCATTTTTGAAATCGTTCGTTGTTTTCCGATAGGGAAATCAAAATTAAAAAAAATACTCTAGATTCGTGTATATTTTAACATGTATTTTAATAGGGGGGGACAAACAAACAATAAATAAATAAATAAATAACCCCCACCCCCAAGATGAAGCCCCAATAGTAGCAGATGCTCGACTGCCATCCCAAATCTGATAAGCGAGACGCTGGAAGCTCAGTGTGGCGACCCAGGTGTGGGACGAGAACGCTGTCTACCCGTGCGCGTCCAGATGGAAAGATAGAGTGTATACTGTGATCAGTGGATCGTAGGCTCCAACTCCCTGCCTCAGAATTCTGGTCTGCATTTTAACGCGTGGAAAATGAATACATCTCTGTGAGCTATGAGTACAAAGAAGAAACTTGAGAGCACTGCAAGAACGCAGGCCGCCGCCGATGAAAAAGGCAATAACATTCTTAAAGTATTAGGAGACGCGGATTCGGTTGAAATTGAGACAATTTCTTTTCCTCCTCATGACTGTCTGCCCTGGAAATTTCATCCAATTCAGAGAAACTGTTTTACAGATCTTTTTCATAAAGCAAAAACCAAGAAAGCAATTGTTAACTTAGCTGTTTTCACCATACTGAAAAAGGCAAAGGATTAGGAAAATATTAATATTTCAAAATTCTTATTTGCTAATTCCATATACTATGAATAAACATTGTCGTATAGAATTATTATATGCATATTTAAAAATCTATACGTTTTTGATGCATACTCATTAAAAATTTTTTATCAAATTATGCATTTATTTTAGATGCAGACAAACAATATTAAAAAGACAAATGAGAATAAATTATTACGTAATGAAACTAGGAACTTGAACCAATACATAAATACTAGCATGATAAAGAAAGTGTTTCTGGTTGGCAAGCATCTAAATCTAAAAAAACACTTGTATGCCTCTATAATCTTAGTTACTATTCTAAAGAAACATTCAGACGTACATGTAGGTATAATACATTTACATTTGAAAAATAATGAGCGAGAAGATAGCTTTTTTATAGACGCAAAGAGGAAATTTTTAGATGTTTTTAAATCACTGTGATTACAGATACTGTAGTGTTTTTTTTTCTGATAAAATTACTGAATCATAAATCCTTAAACAAAGAAAAAACATCAGCAACCACTGATTATGCATTAATTTTGATTTGGCATGCGAAGCTTACATTTGCAAAATTTCGTTTTGTGCACATCATTTATCACAATTTTCATTATATCAAATATTGATTTCTTTTCACTTCGTATTGTGTATTGAAAGATAATTGTAATTGTGTTATAAATTTTTTTGACAGCTACCTATATTTCATAATTTTAGGTCCTGATCGCAAAAGGGGCAGGCAGACGTACTCAAGACACCAAACATTAGAACTGGAAAAAGAATTCCACTTCAACCGGTATCTAACCAGACGACGTAGAATAGAAATCGCGCATGCGCTGTGTCTCACGGAAAGGCAGATCAAAATTTGGTTCCAAAACCGACGAATGAAATGGAAGAAAGAGAACAAAGGAATCGAGCTTTCCCGCGACAGTCCGCCCCAGGGTGTTTTATGAAATAGTCGTTGTAATTATATTTTTATCTTGTGATGTATCATCATCATCTTTAACTATTTATTGTCTGTCATCTTTCCATTTTGCTTTGCGTCCGTGAGTGAATTTTGATGTTGACGTTTCCAAGGACTGTGACGCAACAGAGGACTGGGGTGGTACTGGTGTATATAACGTGGTACACGTGGCAGGAAATATGACGTAACATTCGCTGTTCGTTAAAAGGAGTATAGCTGAACCAAAGAATGCGGTATGTTTGAATAGGCGTATATTGATCATGGTGCTTGCAAAAAGGCAGATTTTCCAACACTTTTCAATTAAAAAATATACCGCCTGGAGTGGATGTGGCTGCCAAAGCAGAAGATGTTGAATATATTGCCACACATGCTATGCGAAGGACTCTTGAAAAAAATATTGAACGAGATGTTAATTTCGGTCACGTGACCACATGACGTCACCACGCCCTGTCCCTGTCAGACATGTCAGAACCACATTCCCCCTTGTAACTTTTGCCAGTATTGTATTTAATCGGTGTGAATAGAAATGTCGATATGATTTGTAAATGTCGATCTTTTTTGTTGTAAATATTCAATTTTTATGGGTCAAAATACGTATGAGAGTGTTGTAGGGAAACCACGAGAGACATTATGCCGCCGAAATGTGCAATTGAATATGATTCCCAGTGCCACCTATCGGTGCTTTATGAATTCATTTTAGCATTCTAATATTCTGAATCTATCTCGCCAAAAGCCAGAATGCCATTGTTTGGTTACAGCATCTTTATGGTGAATCAAGTAAAAATGCGGTGGACAAATTTGTACTATACTGTGTGCTAACACACGGATTATACCAGTTGTTTTCCTCACTCGGATAACGATTTTGGAATAGCTAGGCTGCTGGCGCTATCAGTGCGTGACGGCTTATGATGACCCTCCATTCATATATCGGTTCATTTGAGTCGCCACCTATCGGGCTTTTTTCGGAAACTCAGGGTGGTTGGGCAGCATTTGGTTCATAGCACGAGCAGGAGTGCGGCGATTTTAAATTTTATTTATTTATTTATTTATTTATTATTATTATTATTTTATTTTTTTTTTTTTATTTTTTTTTATAATTCGGAATGCAACCTCTATGGACTCGACGTCTCTGTTAATCAACTGTCTCAAATACTTGCCAAATGACATTGGGTAATTTTCACAACCTGTTTTATGGAATGTAACAACTTAGAACCATACGGAAACTTTACAGTTAAGGCATACTGTTCTTACTGGGTGGATATTTTATTGAAAATTGACCTAGTTTTTTAGTTTTCTTTCTATTACCGAAGGAAGCCTCTTCAATGATTTTCCGCTCACTTAACAAGTGTACGTTTTACATGTTAGGGAGATTATCATTTATTTTTTACGAAATACGGTTTAATATTAATCACAGTTGTAACATTAGACGGCTTTGAGGGTGTTCACCCTATTGCTGATGGATTAGTATAAATAAACAGAAGTTATGAAGATTAAATGACACACTTTTTGTGATTTGTAAGGTGTTTAGAATTTTAATGTAATTTGTTCTATATTTTGAATGGATATGTTTCCCAGTATATTTGAGTGACTTGGAAGTGTAATAGTCCCCCATAGTTGGGTATCTCGTCAGATAAACAGTGGGCAGAGTTTGTACATTGTTCATGTTTTATTTGTGAAATAAATGGGTGTAGAAAATATGAAAATTAAAATTATTTGTCAAGGTGTCTATGTTATTCGTTTGATATTTCTAGCTCATTGGTCATACATAAAATTTTAGCAAGTTGTAAATTAAACGAAATATATCACTTTAGTACTCAAAGTTTTGCAAAAATGAACAAAAACAAAAAAGATCCGTTTCCGTAATTTAAGAATGAATCCCAAAAATGAAAAAATCTCATCTCAAATTTTGCCAACAGGCAAAATTGAAGCAATAACGCCTTGTTCCCTTCTTTCATCCTTTTGTAGGAAAATACTATTCATCATCTCAATAACAGAAAGGTAAATCTGACACAAGAATAATGTCTGACAGTGAATAGTTCTCTGGCCTCAAAAGAGTCAGTGTCTTTTACTGCAATGATATTTTATAATTTCCTTAGGTTTCACAAAACGCAGATGAACAAAAATGAAATAATTTAAAAAATAAGAAAAATTGGAACTATGGGGCCACATCAAAAATACCTCTCTATCTATCACTGTTATAACAAATATTCTCTATAAAAATATCCACCTCGTTTGTTCATTTTCTAAGATTGTATCAGTTGTCTTTTTTTTTTTCACACCCAACGCATTTGTAGTACTATATATAGTAGGCATATTATCGAGCATCATTCCAAAATGGAAGGCGTTGTTGAATTATCGCTTGAGAAAACATTCTGAGTCAGCAAATGTTTTCTTTTTCTTTCTTTTTTCCTTGTTTTCTTTTGATGAAATCACCCATGTATAGGTGTTGCGACAGAGAATTTCAAATTTCATTATTCAACATAAAAGGCTTTTCTATATTCAAAATTATTCTTATAAAAATTTTATTGGGGATCTTACTAATTTGAAATTATGAAAAATTCAAAAGTGGAAAACTTCCTAAGAAATGAAAATATGTCATATCTATATTTAACATCACAGGCACTAAATATAGAAGTTCATTTTTTATAATTTTTTGTCTAGACTCCAGATTATATCAATTAAAACGTTACACAAATATGTTGGCTGATGACATTTTCAGTATAGCCGGATATCCATCATTTCCGATGTTTTTCTTTGTTTGTAAGCCTATTATATGGAATGATTTAAGAAAATGTCGAACTCACTAGATGAAGCCCATTGTTAGCACATCATCGCAAAATCTTCATTCAATTTATTGCAACCTTGTCTTTTATTAAGTTCGCCGCGCCATCTGTTGAAAGTTGAAGTCTCTGTTATGATATTATGTATCTGTATCTTCTCACCTATCGCATTTTACGGCCCAAGTCAACATTAAAATATGAAGATGCACACCCAAAAATAAAATACAGTATTATTAATAATAATAATAATAATAATAATAATAATAATAATAATAATGGATGAGAAGGAACACTAAACCTGCCCTTAATATAGGGGCAACTCCACATTTCAGGCTCAAAATGGTTCTTTGACAGGACATATATTTTATACGTTCATTCCTTTATGTACCCATGATGGCAAATACTTCCAGTGCGTTTGTGGATTGAACATTGCTGTTAGATACAATGAGTCTTTATATGTAATACTGAGAATAAGGTAAAGATAAATCATACAGAGCGTGTGTATTTATCACTGAAATCTGTATGAAATAATAATATAGCGTGTTAAACAGTCCACTAAGTGCTGATAAAATAAACCGGGATATTGTGCTTGTTGAAATATTTGTAATAAATAAGATCAACTTCTTATCTAGGAGGTAATGTGTTTTGTGCCTGTACTATATTTGCGGAAGGTGGACGAGTAATTGATTGCAATTTACTTTCGAAAATTCAATTCACAAATAAATTCTACAGTATTTAATAATAATATTTTGTGAATTTGAGAGTCTGAATATTGTATTGTATCTGGAAGTATTTTGCTACCAACCATGTGATAAAATACTTAAAATACTCGACTTTGTTTTAACAATTGTTGTTCATGTATAAAGTATTGGTACCTTGTTTAGTTTTGTTATTGTTAGAAAACTTAATTTCATGATCTGTAAAATGAAAAATCGCACTAGTAATCCTTTTTAGCCAAATTATGGCCGAAAATAGTGATGCATTTTGTTAGACTAAAAAAAAAATAGATGTTCTGTGCTACGCGTCAATGTTTTATTTGATGAAATAAAATACAGAAAGGAATATCGAAACAAAGAAAACTCATTAAAAGCCCATCTTATGGCGATTTTCGGCTTCATTTGCCACAGAATCACGAAAAACTAATCGAATATAAATCACTGGTTTATATTTAGTCTAAATAATTTCACTTTTTTATTTTTATCTATTTTCCACTTTAATAGTTGAGAAAATTGCCTGTTCAGTAAAGGTAACGCTTTATAACGAGAACTTTCCTAAAACTGTATTTTAAATGGACTCAACTCTAATGCTTTTCTTGTCTATTCATTTTCGGTGTAGAAAGAACACAATCAGATTTGATATATTGATAGATTGGGGGAGGGGTTAGAGAAGAAGGGGAGCGAGGGAGCGAACACTTCCTTTTGCGTAACTAATCACATTTTATTTACACACGCGGAGTGACGACAGTTGGATTCATAACTTGCCCACTCCCCTCCCAACTCTATCTCGAATCCTTCCCCGTTTCCTGAAAAAGTCATCCCTATAAACCATACATGTCACATGAGACAACAGAGATAGGATTATAGTGACAGATGTCCTGTGACGGGACCGGCCATATTTCCTTATATCAACTATCAGGTTGTCACGTAGATTAGGAGACAGGTGTTGTGACACGAAAAAGTGAGACAAATACAATATCACTGTCATCATGAATTACCGCCTCGCACCTTGCAGATGTGGTATGGGATCGAATTCGCACGGACCGTATGCCCCTGCCGGGCCTCTGGGTGTGTAGGAGTTGGGCTTGTGAAGTAGAAGATAGAAACGCTTAAGATTTCAAACTTCGAGAAAAGTGAAATAACTTTATGAAATAAAATGGTATGGCGATTTGGTAGTCCCAGTTGTTTTTTAAAGTATAGGAATTAAGTAACATGACCACATCTGCAACATTTAAACTGCATCATGTATAAAGATACATTACTGGCGGTCAATGGTTATAATGATAAAGCAAGCATTAGATACAGCTGAATCTAGATAAATCTACATGTGTATATCTGTTTGTGAGGCCAATAAAGACGTTATAGAGGCTTCCTTCCAAAGTAGGTGTTCTAACGCGAGAAAACGGCTATCACGAAAGTGGATGGTTCAGGGACAGAAAATAGCCGTGTATCTAAGATATATTCATAATGCAGATATCTATACCATCGACAGATAATGGAAGGATACTACTCGAAGAGGAAAGATGCACTGCGCCCCGACTATGTACACCTCACACGAAAACACAGCTATCGTGCAGGGCCCTACGCGCACATCATGGCGGCCCGGAAGATGGATTGATAATTTCCAAAGGTGTATTGTATATCTAGCCCGGGGCAGTTCGATGATAGTGGCGATTGTTCCCCGATATTTAAGTGATTCTGTTCTGTAAATTAACTTTTGAAATTGATCCGATTCGTTACGGAGACGAGGGATGATATGGCGCGGCGCTGAGTGTGCGTATGTTATGGTGCCGGTGACAAGAACGTTCCTTCAAAAACTGAGGTCGTAGCTCAGACCTTTTGTGTCGTACACTGGAGAGAAACTGTTCAGCTTAATATCTTGTTCTTTTTCGTTAACCCAGCCTCGTGGGTTTTGCAAATTCCTTAGCGGAATAGTGGATAGTGGAAACTTATATAGTTTAATATAATATCTACAGTAGCACTTATTTCTTTGGTTTTGTGTTGTACCTATCATTTTCGTGCGTGTGTTTTTCCTTTACGCTGTGTTGAAACAGACCTCAGGGTTAATAACTTAAAATCATATATTAAAAAACAAACATGCTTCACATCCCACCTAAAAAAAATTACGGGAATTACGCTCAGGTTAAGTAAGGTAACTCGTGAACATCTCGTAAATTGCGAAATTATGGTATATTTTCTTGTAACGTAATAATATTTGACAGGATTTACGTTCTGCGATTATTTCAGGCAGATCAGAAAGGCAAGGAGATGATGTCTTTATTCACCAATGTGCGTAGGAAAAGTTATGACTTAGGTTGAAAGTGGTATGTCAGATATCGAGATCTAGATGCCATTCTTTCCCATGGTGTACAAATGTGGATCAAGAATTATTTGACGTGTGGCTTGACAATCTTATATGTTCCTGCAGTAATATACTGTAAAGCTGCACAACTGAAAGCCATTTATTTTTGGAATCAAAAGACATATCAAAGTTTCATATATATCTCCAAAACACGAGCTGTGGAAGAAATATACTTCCAGAGGCCTATTTACATCAGGTGTGATTTAAATCTAAGTAATAATAAGCATTATAAAGCAAATGTAAATCTTCCTTTACATTTCAAAGCTTTTCTTTGGCCAACAAGGTACTCTTGGTCCTTTTGCAGATTTACCATTCAGTTGACAAGCAGGTGTGATTTGCTTAGGCAATATTCAATTGTGTATTCTTTTGTAGGACCTATTGCAACATGACATCATTATTTGGAAGTAAGGATGCAGCTTTTAACAGAACAAGAGCCGGTTAAATAGGTGTAAGACAAGGCGGGTTCCAGCGCGCCAGCAATCTCATTCATTTAACTCGCATTTAAGTTGTGTCTTATTCAGAGAACTGAGTAGAAAATGTAGCTATTTTTTAACAACATACTTTCTTCCACCTCAGTCATTTGGGTATGTACAGGTTATATTATATCTGTAAAAGAAATTAATCCACTAAGTTAGCGCAGTAATTCCTTAAAGAAAAAAAAAAACTCAAATCGATGTAGGCATATCTCAATCATATTACTTTCAAATTGACTTATTTTGAAGCTAAGGAGGGGTAACACTTGAATATTTGACAAGTATTTCAGTTCTGCTTGGCTAAACTTGTTGAACTTTTGCTCTCTCGCTGTGAAGTACCGATCCATCATGAGGCATCAAAAGTGCTTGCACATGGACCAATGAGAACGGAAGAAGGCAAGACAAGCCCAACAAGGGAGCTGTTGAAATCTGACCAAGGCCTTTGTGGGGCCTAAACGTCCTCTGTTTTTATGGCTTCGCTATTTCCACTGCGGAACTGTGGATGTTTTAGGTATACAGGCATTGGGCTTAGTGCCCTGTGTCTTGGCCCCAGTGGAGGATGAAGAGTACTTAGTGAAAATGTCTGAAAGAAGTCGTAGAAGCGGTTTCTGGGTAATCGCCAAACCCCTACGTAAAATGATGGATGGGACGGCGTTTAAACGGTTCGCTGATCAGAGACCGGGATTCTTATGCTGAAGGCCGCGTATGTTCTTGAGTTTATGACAGCTGAGTTTTCTTTTCCTTTCTTTAATTCTTCCTTCACCCCTCTCTCTCTCTCTCTCTCTCTCTCTCTCTCTCTCTCTCTCTCTCTCTCTCTCCAGAACAGGGAATCGTAATCATTCTCCTAAACTGGTGTCTAAATGTCATGATAAAAAGTGGCATTTAATTTCCTTTAAAACAATCTTTATGGTGAACCGACACACTTTTAGATATGGTGCACATTTTTCAAAGAAAAAATATCCCTAAAAACCAGGAGAGTATCATGAATTGCTCAGATGTGATTAAAAAAGCAATCTTCGAACGATAAGCTATACGTCTTGGGAATAGAGGTTGAAATGAAAACTTGGGCCTTTTAACCGCCTGTCACGCCATTTCTCCAAGCTAGCTGAGCAATTTTTGTTCAATAATAACACCCGCCGCCGAATCAAAGAGGAAAAAAATATTATTTCGAAAATTTGTATCATGCAATGTTTTGGGTTTGGTTTCACTTCATCATTTCAAAATTGAATGCCATCATTAATCATAGTATTTGCAATGGACTTTATATTAAGTTTTACATATATTATGCTCTTCTCTTATACATAGGCTTGTAGAGCGAATTGCTTGTAGACAGATATTCTGGTTCACAAAAACATTACAAACATTAGAAACAGCGTTTGTTATAAAAACTCCGATTTGATAGCATTTCCACTAAATTATCTCAATAGAAAAGAAAGATAAAGAGGAGGGGAAACGAAAATATGTATCTTAAGGTAGGGTAAGACTCTCACACATTCTACAGTCTGAAAATAAACACCACTTTTATTACAAGAATAATACACGCACTTTTAATGACGCAAAGCTTAATAAATTAAAATACAAACATTTCAACGACATACAAATTTACAATTTAAGATGCATTTCTTTAAGAACAGTTAAATTCTCCACACTTATTTATGATGCACACATCATGGGTAAGAAGTTAATAGGTTTCTGATTGGTTACGTACAATTCAATGAGGATATTTACGATTAGAGATTTACAACTCTTCGAAATATAATAAAACAAAATATAGATTTACCCAGCCACATTTAGAATATCTCCACTAGGGCATATAATTTATCTCGATGTCATTGTTAACATAAACTAAGCTGGTTTTTAAACTTTGATGGGAGCTTCGTTTGTATTAAATCGTCTATCATGTATAGTAATAGGACAACAGTAGACGCGTAACAGAAATTTCCCTTGAAATGAAACAATTAGTCTTTTCTAAAACAAATGAAAGTGCGCTGATTATCAAGTGTGGTAATATATATGTGTATAGTATGACGTTGAAATGGAAACGATGATGTCTAACAAAATCATCCTCGGTTTGCGATTTAGCACCGTGGACTTTGTGTAGGGAGATAATAAATACTTTTTTTGCGTCATTGTTGAGATTCGTCTCAATAGTTCTCCTAAATTCAATCTACTTAAAGTCATGAATAATTAGAACACTGATTCTTTGCACCATTGTCATTCTGTAAGACGTTCAATTAGCCTTTCTCATATCATACACAACGTCAAACAGTTAAAATAAACATCCGTTTGTTTTTTAAATCAATAGTCTAATATCCTGAGAGAAGAGATAAATAATTATCAAATGTTGCGAGATACCCAAGTGTCGCATCGATTCATCTGCCTGTAGCAACGTAAGGTGAGAGAACACGTTATAGTATGACTCCAGACTGATACGACCATTGTAATTGGATCTGTGTACTCTATGTATAGTTAATGCAACAGCAGCATTGTGTGTATGTAAAGTGCCAAACAGAAAGGAACACCGGTGGCGTTAATGCATATTTGCATCGATGCATCTGTTATGTTCTTCGGATACAGCAGATGGTTTTCTATAAAAGAATCATTATAAGATCAAGAAAAGTGTTGGGTAGACTGCGAACCAGAAACCAAAGAGAATACATGCCGGACAAACAGAAACACTGTCCAAAGGATACATCAAAGTGTTTTGGTTAATTTTACAAAGGCAAAGGCGCAAAAGTAATAATCGATGCAAGGCAAATTATCTTAAATTATTTGTTGTCAAGCTCATTATTTTGTCAACGACAGATAACTCTTGAAATCCTTCCTAAACTCTTAAAAAGACAATACTAATCCGCACATTTACAGTTTTACACTGTCAGTAGGGCATCGTCAATCCAGGATTATTTTAAGTAACAAAATTAAAATAAACCAGATATCAAACCAACAGATTATACTTAAGAATTGGATAAATAACCACAGCTACGAGAACATAGCGTATTATGCAGGTTTTTGCAAACCATTTAACATTAAGTGTAACAATATTATGCCTTCAATTTTGTAAAACATGGACCTGAATATGGCTTTTTTTGATTCAATGAAATGCCCGGATGCTGTGACGTAAGTTGTGTAAAATACATATAGGCAAATGTCGGCTGTTGCTTTGTTCGTGTATATCCAGACATGCTGTGCACTATTATGACGAGTTCGTCACACACACAAGTTTTCGTTGGAAAGTTGTACAAAACGACGGTACATCTTTGGTGCTTTTTCCCTCCTGTTTTAACAGGTCGGCTTGGCATACTTCCTTAACGGTTTTATCTCAAAACAAGGAATCATGTCCGCTTATTCCACAATGCAAATTCCTTCTCATGTCGTTCTGTATATTACGACGCTGTCATGTTTACGGCCTTTTAACCCAAATGGTTCACAGCTAAAGTAAAAACATTGCTCTTGACTGATTGCAGTCAACTTTGGTGAAGGCAGTTTATAATTAGACATTAATTCTTGGTGCTGTTAACAGGGGGCTGCCCTTCCATGACCGTCCTACGCCATGTAGTAAGATAGCAGGCTTCGTCCCTTGGATCGATTTCAACGCTGCCGATCAATACGCAAGATTCCAGACGATATTACTTTCAGTTTGGCAACAGCGATAAGATACAACTTACAGAATAGCCATTCTTAGCTGCCTCTGGTTGTAGAGATATATGGTATAGGTATATGTGGGCGATTTTGATCTTTGTTCACATATATGTGTGCATTGACCGAACTGTGTCAAGTGCAGTTTTTTGCGGGTTGCCAACTGGTCGAACGGCTACGGTAGCATTGGCTTTATACATAAAGTTCACTGAGCATTTCTTTTTCGAATACGAGTACAACACCAGCATAAGCGGGTCAAAGGTGACTGTCTTTCTCTACTGTTTGCCTTGTTCGTGGCCTGCATGTTCCCAAGAAAACAGTTGTCCAAGATTTATATTATGCAGTTATTTTGGGTAAAACGTTCGATCTCTTTGACAATGTTGATTCCTCTAATGTGTGAAGCATTGTTAAGTTGCCAATCAGTGGTTTCGAATATCTCGAATATCCATTTACGTAGCACGCACCATCACAATAAATGAAATAAAACAACATGAAGCTCTTTGTTTTGTTTTGGTTGAAAATGAGATTTCAATAGAGATATTATCATGGTGATTTATTCCGCACCAAATGCAGCTGTTGGTAAAGTCTGACTTTCCTTCATTCGTTTCTTCTGTTTCATCCTTCTGTTTTGAAACCAGATCTTTACCTGAGTCTCATTGAGTCCGAGAGCCGCTGCGATCTCGATTCGTCTCGCTCGCGTGAGATATTTGTTAAAATGAAATTCTTTTTCAAGTTCTGTAAGTTGTTTATTGCTGAAGTTCGTTCGCCCCATGTTTGGTATGTTTCCACTGTAGTCCTGATAGTTCTTTGTGCTCTGTTTGGTTGCTGTAATGACAAAAAATACAAAATCAAATCATACGTAAACTGACTTCTGAAAATTTATTTTCTGACACATGGCATTCCAACGAATGGGCCTCTAAATAAAACAAAATCAGTTTCAAAACATTGCAAGTATTTTGGTGCTCTATATTGAAATAATTATTTTAGATATTTATCCAACATAATTCAGTAGAACTAAGACATTTATACTGAATCTTTTCGCATCTGCACATCTGAAAATGTACATTTGGTTACTTTACGAAATCAATTTTCTATTAGTGGAATAAGTGAACATCTTTTGTAAAAACAATAGAACTGAAAATGGGCACATTTTACTTTGGAGAGGCTGAACCGTTCAGAAAAAAATTACAGTAGAAAGTATTTGTGTATTTTTGTTCTTTTGCAGTGCTCCGTATGTTTTTTTTTTATACAAGTATATAAAACGTTTTAATAAAGTATATAAAAAGTTTCGCTAATAATGCAAAATGAAGCTGTTCGTAACTGAACTGTTTTTTATCATTAAGCAGGAAATAAACGTCGGATGTGGAATTATGCGAACTGTATATTGTCCAGTAATTTCCATTTAGCGTGCAAATTGTATATCAGCAATGCAGATCCAATTTGATGTTCTGGTTGAAATTAGAAATAAAAAAGACGATCACGAATTTCCAACAAGAGGCAAGTAATTCGTCTTCTTTTTGGAGTAGCAGTGACGCGCAATTGTACACTGATTATAAGCTTAGGAGGTAAAACGTCCCCCGTGATTTGTAAAACTTCCTAAATACGTTCAGTGATTGTGGGAATTGGTAGCATGGGCGATAATTAACGCGGAATTAAATTCTCAATACGAATAAAAACGACGACGTTGACTAACGACGGATTTGCATGTAGCTCTGACATTTTCCCAGCGCATTTTCAATATACCGACACAGAGGCATATAATGAAAGTCAAGCGTTGCCATGGTAACCTGTTCCAGAAGATTGAAAAAGGATTGGGCTCTGTAGATCTATATGTAATAACTAGCGGAATCCGAACAATGGGTTTTCATTGAGTGGCTTTGTTTAAACACATGCTAGCGTTGTGAAGTGCGAGTGGCTTTGTTCGAAACAAACTTGTAACGTACTGCGCTGTTGAAAGCGTATGTTTGATCTTGTCTTGTTTTTTAGTTTTACAATTGTAAATGCCTTGAACTTTGTAAAATTGTTTTCTCTTCGTAATTATAGCATGGAAGAGACGTTTGACAAAGAGGAACAGTTTGAAAGCAGCGTTACATTAGGCAAAATTGTTGTTGGTATCTTTGGATAAAAGTAAATACGTTGAGCAATCCGTGCATTAAGAAAAATTACTTTTATCAGGAATAATGTATTGATGTGTACAAAGATGACGCTTAAGCTTTGCCTGTTTAAATATTTACGTGCATGACTTTGCATTGCCTTACTAATAATTTGCACCGAATTACTTCTTCATTGCACTTATATTGGGTACACACATCGTGTGAGAAACAAATTACATTACTAAACGGTTCCATAATATACTTAAAGGTACATGTTCCTCTAGAGAACCAAAGACCCAAATGTACCAAGTGCATGTCAACTTTTTGTTAAGGTGAAAGTGTTTTATCTGAAAACGAGTAAACTGTTTTTACTCTTTGGATATGTTCTGTATGCCTATCCGCTACGTGTAGAGTTCATATACACCGAATACTAATTAATAGACAATTTTTGACAACACAAATATGTCTTCTTATTATCAGATTTCTAAAATATGTAGCCTATATCCACATAGCATTGACCTACGTTTTTAAATATCGTGCCATGTTATCTAAAAATTGCGTGGTAATTACGGTGCCATGTTTACGGTCAGATCACATAACAATATGGTATTATTTTCAAACCACACATAATGTACATATGCTTTGCTGTAATATTACAAAAAAAAAAAAAAAAACAAAACAAAACCAAAGTTCAAATCATCCCCTCAACCAGCACACGGACAGTCACCCCGCTTACAAACAAAGCCATAAACTTCACCCATTATACAATTGTGTTGCCTCCAACGCCAAATTAAAAAAAAAAAGACAGAAAATGTGAGCTTTCTATATAGAGCGCCATATCATCTTTAACAATGCTGAAACCCAAAAGACAGAAGCAAGGCTAAAATACAGGTTACCGTCGCACCACAACTCGCGCGGTCATACATCTCCGTTTCAGATAATGGGACAACCCAAACCCAATCCAAAACAATAGCGACAATTACGCCGACGACAGCTTTGATCTCACACCTATCATTATCATCGTGAAGCGTGCAAGAAGCGCGTGGACTTAATCATCTACTCCAGATAATGTGGAAATAATAACCTGATACAACGGCGTTCTCATTAATCATTGATGATCGGCGTCCCAGGAGGGGGTTCCGCTGACTTCGGGCAGTGGGGGTACAGTAATTGTAATTGTTTCTTCAAGGTTTGAAAACCGCGAACGGGAACAAGGTAGTCTAGTAAACCTGGAAGATGATTCTCGAGTCAAACCTCAGTGTTGGCGATCCTTAGTGGGTCGCTTAACAATAGCAACAATTCTTCAAAAATATTGTTAATCATGTTTGTAATGCTGGGATGCAAGTTTAAAGAAAGTTGTAATTATCAAAAAAAAAANTCAAAAAAAAAAACAAACTTTTGACGCATATGTGCTTTTCAGTTTATGGTTTATAATTACACGTAGATGGTCATAAAATGATCCATAAAAATATATTTAGAAAAATTACATATGAGGCCTATATGCATCAATATCGTCTTATATGTAAAAAGACTACTTCTTGAGCTGATTAATTTTATATAAATATCCAATATAAAATGAAAACGAATGGTTGCGTTATAGACCTCCTGGTTTCGAAAAATAATTTTTGACTTTAAGAAAACAAAAATTGAAATGATCTTACTTATTGAAAAAAATCAAAAAGGAAAGCCCCTTTCATTTTGGGCCGGAGAATATTTGTCCTTGGGCGTACTTTTGGCATGTTCTTGGAAAGTAGCTACCCAACAGCCACTTCAAATACTGGTTCATGAAATGCTACCAAAGAAACATGAAGTGCAGAGCAAAATAGACAACCCTTGCGGCGAAATTCTGAAAGCGAAATTCCCATTGTTCGGCCAACTGCATGCTACCCTTTTCTTGTCCGAAGGATACCTTAGGGGCACTATCTTCTTCTTAGCCCCTATTAATAAAACACATGACAAGCGATTGTTGGATTGGTAGCCAACTGTGTGTCTGTTTTGGCGTTTTATCTGTCAAGCATATCCTGTGTCTGAGCACTCTTGTTTCATCTGGGAGGATTCTCTTGCATACCTCCCAGCCGGAAACTATCAAGTACGTTTTCTAAAAACTCAAGCATTTCTAAAAACGTAAAGGCATTGAATTTTCGCGCAAAATTTATATACCCTTACCCTTTCGGTCGTGAATGCAAAATAAAAAATATAAAAAAAAAACGATTAAGTAGAATACAAACATCTGCCTTTAAACAAAATACAGGCATTGTTTAGGCGATCCTAGAGAGTAAAAATGAGACAAAGATATACGATATAGAAAGAATGACATTAAAGCATTCAAAACACAGAGAAAACATGTTCATGTAGCCACTTTTCCTTCTTATTTTAACGCCTGGCCATGTTTGGTGTCAATGAATTCGAAAAATACATTTGCATTGATTCGTACATAGTACTGACTATGACTTATTGATTTAATATGGATGTTTTTCTTTTCTTTACATTTTTTTAGATGAGTTACGGACTCTTACAAACTAATTAAGGGTACAATATTATTTTAATGTTTTTTATTCTAGTTTATAAACCTAAGACTGTCCGGGCCTGCAGTATCAAATGTGGAAAATGCAAATTTTATCGTCCATTATCTTAAAGTAAAAATGAAACGAATAACCTGGAAAACTAATGAATCGAATTACGGACGCTGCATAGTGTTTTCGTTGCTCTGTCATTTTTCAACCAGAAGATTAAACCATTTTTGTTAACATAAGTATTGAAAAATTGTGTCAAACATTCACAAGCCAAAAAAAACTAAAATAATAATAATAATAATAATAATAATAATAATAATAATAATAATAATAATAATAATTTTTAAAGACACTGGTAATTTATTTGGCTATATTACCAATTCGCAAGTAATTCGAAAGTAATTACATTAAAATGATAAGAAATCATTGATGCAATTCTTTTGGCATTCACATGCTTTCGATGAGTGTGCAGCTACTCACAAATAAAGTGATCTAAGCAGAATATTGTTTAATGTTACCCCATAGGTCCCGTTAAATCATTTGTGATTTTACGTGGTATTTGATTTTTAAAGTAACATAAATTTAAGAATAACATACATATATGAGCCACGGCTGCCAGAAACATGCCCCATTATATACCCAAAGTAACTGAATTGTTAATACAAAAGAAGAAATCAACAGTGATAAAAATATCTTCAAAACTGTTATATGTTTAAAATTGATTATGTTTTATCGCCAGCGAGGCTTGCAGAAAAGCAACAATAAGAGTAATGAGTTAAATTAGAGAAATCCGACAACAAACAAAGAAAGTGACATAATAATAAAAAAAAACATAAAAATGAAACAAAAAGGCAGATGTCCCGTTTGGAAGTATTGGAACAAAGGGAGGAAACAACACTCACAGAAAAAAGGTAAAAAGAAACAAAATAAGAAAGAAAAGATAACCTAATAAGTAAGTCGACAAGTTGACACGTAACAGACAGACACTAAGTAACAATTGGAGGATGATGCATTGCCAGAAGAAACTGACCACTTGAAAACTGCTTCAGTTTTCCCATATGCCAATCCTCACCGGTGTCAGAATTGTTCCATCGTGCCATTTTTCATTTTGTGCCCTTAGGAAAATAGCTGTGATGTATTGTTATACATGTTTCCGTGCCCTTACCGTAACCTTCGACGCACTACTGATATGTTTTATGCACGTAAGTGAAATCTCTGT